TTCGAGTCTTTGCTTTTCAAAAAAATGTTCTCCAGTGTAAGCAAAAACAATCTCTCAAATGTGTCTCCATGTTTAGGGAGAGACAAGGGTGAGATTAGAGAAGGGAGTTTTTTGGCTTCAGTTTTGGGGAGCTCTTAGTTTTGGTCATCCTTTTAAGTCTTTAGTTAGCACGGTCATTAACTCCTTTCGTGGCATGCTGCAAAGCACATTAGTCTGGCAATGCGGTTACTTTCCTTGTTCCCTCTTAATCCGTTCATTGTCTATTATGTTTTCCCAGCTCGTAGCCCCTTTCATGTCCTTTCTAAGTTGAGCCTTTGTCCCGGCCCTCAGTTGCTCTGCACTTGAGGCTGTCCTCTAGCGTCCGCCAGGTGGGTCGTCTTGTAGCGCTTCCGATTACTAACATAAGGGTTGTGGGTTCGATACTGAAAAATCAGGGCGAACCCCCTGATGTGTTACAACACAAATGTACACCAAATGTTTGACGTTTTCTGTTATGCTTTGTTGCTGCTTAAGTGTTTGAACACTTCTGTGAAGACTGAACAAGACTGAAGTTTGCTTTGTATTCACCAGCTTCTTATTCCAACTTTTCATTCCACCTTAAATGGTGCGGCAGTTACATGTTGATCCCCACAGGCACCAAAAATGTTCATGTATGCAGTTGAGCAAAGCTCCAAAACTACAGGCAAAATAGAACACATATTTGGCTACCATACTTGCTAAAAATATTACAAAGAAAAACAACAAACTCATGCTGCTCTCTAAACATGGTGGAGCACCAAGTTAGCAGGTACAAGGTACAACGTGTCTCAATGAATGCATTTACTGATCTGTTTACATTTATTTGCCTCACACGTTCAGTTCACATTCTGCTTGTTGCTTAAATTTAACGACTTTGGAAAATGATTGTAGCCTAAATAATTGCGTTTGTCTCAAATAATCACAATCAGCCGATTTTCTAATAATTGTGACAGGCCTAATTTGATATTTTATGTTTAATTTTTTTTCAATATGTTAAACTCCGCAAATGAATAGAAACAGTGCTCTAAAACGTGCAGGAAAATGCCATACTGAAGTTCCCTGTAGAGGATGTGTTAACTTTTGTTCACTTAGAGAAGCAACAAAACGTGTAATTTAATGTTGTTCAAAATTTTGCATGCGACTGCAGCTACTTGCATGCTTTACTGTGTGCCCGTGTCATCTTAAGCCTTTTCATGCTCTTCTTGCAGGGCAAAGGTCAGATGGTCATCTGTTGATGATGCTGTCGGTGGTCCGTGACTCAGATTTTACATAACGGATCTCAGTGTGCAGAGCAGATACCCTGTGTAGGGCAGTGTTTTGGTGCGGTTTGTGTATTACTTACCCCTCTGCTGCAGACTGCACGGCAACATGACATGCCTGAGGCCTTTTGACAGAGATTGGAGAAAATAAGATATAGCAGGAAGCCCACATATAGGCCTATATGATGAATATAGATGAGGTCAAAACAGTATGAAGGCAGCATGAGCACTGAGATGAGGTCAGTCCCTCCGTTCCCCACCCCTTCCCCCTGCTCCCACACTCACTTACACATGCACAAGCTCAGAGCTACACACTGCCAGAGGGTCCCTTCAGCTACTATTCCACATGCAGCCCTCCCTTTTGACTGCACGCTCTGCGGTAACTGATAGTTTTCCCTGAAGCCAGGCAGCACTGGGCAGTTTAGCCCAATGACATAATGTATTGCAATGGGCAGCCGGGCCTGACTACTGCTGACTCTCCCGCTAAGCTAATGGAATCAATAGTGGGGAGAGAGGCCAGGGGTGCTTTCACTAAAAACATGCTCTCCACTACTAGGACCCTCATTAACATCAATAATACACGACTAGGAGAGGTTTGCCACTTCGCTGCTGGACCCTTCTTTGACCATTTTAAAGGTCACTTTGTTGAGGAAGCAACATAGATGCGTGAAGGTTGTTTTAGTGGAGACATTTTAGGCGCAAGAACATAATGGCCTGATACTGAGACTGTATTTACGAGATGAAGATAATCATGGTTGTTATTTTTGGTTTATTTGTTTGTTAGTGTATGTGTGTAGATTTAGTGGGTGTCTTTGATTTTCCTGAAAGAGAAGAGCCTGGAGACTCTCGTGTATCCAATGACCTCTGCAGGTTTTAGTACAAACGTGAAGTGCAGTGGTTGAGTTTGTTTCTATGTATATTTATTTGTCACCAAAACAATCACATATTTGGTAGTGAAAATGAGACGGAATTTCTTGGCTGAAATTGAAATTCAGGTGATTGTGCTGAAGCTCCAAACTGTAAACTGAGCAAAGCTGACAATAAACTTAAACAGTTTACATGAAATAAACATATTAAAATTATTACAGTATGTAGGCTACAGTACATACCATGAAGTCTCATGTCCTCATCAACAGAGAGTGGTTGGTCATCCAAGACATTTCCATTATTTTTAGGCTATCATTTGCACTCTGGCTGTCGTTTGTGAAGTTCTTGGATTGTACCTCCTCCTTCGGCACATGCAATTATCATAAACCACTTGTCTCACGTCTCTTTTAGAAACTAAAATAGTTCCACACAGCTGACGTTTTCGGTTATGCTCTGTTGCTGCTTAAGTGTTTGAACACTTCTGTGAAGACTGAACAAGGCTGAAGTTTGCTTTGTACTCACCAGCTTCTTATTCCAACTTTCCATTCCACCTTAAATGGTGCGGCAGTTACATGTTGGTCCCCACAGGCACCAAAATGTGTCACATGTTTTAAGGTGGAACGTCGAATTAGAATAAGAAGCTGACAAGTAAGAAGCTATAAGCTTTATGAAATGCAGAGGAAACAAATAACTTTTTTGTTAAAAAACTAAACTAACTAAATTGTTACTGTTAAAATTATTTGTGAAGTCTAAGATTTCTAGTCTAAGAGGTCTATTTAATCATTTTTCCCAAATGCATGGCCCTATTTTTGATTTCAAAAAAAAAAAAGATTAACCCCTGAACAAGCCATGCGCCCATCGACAGGCCCAGAGTTTTATAACAAACTTCTATATCCTAAAAATAGCTCCATTAGTTTGCACTGAAGTCCCTGTAGTAACTGAATAATAACGCTTTGTATGAAATAAACCTTGAATGTTAAGAGATTAAAAAGATGAAATAAGTTAATTATATAATATTGTATAATTAAACAGTGTTCAAAAACGCTATTCTACAGAGCCTTTAGCTTCTTGCTTGCCAGATTTTCATTCAAATTCATTCAAATTTCATTCAAAAGTTCCACCAACTTAAATTATGTGGCAGGTACATTCTGAAAATATTCAGTGGCTGAGATTTTGGTGCAACCCTAATATTGGTGAAGTGGCTAGATGATAGTGGCCATTCTTAGAGCATTTCTTGCCCATTTTTAGATGAATTAGCTGACTGCTGTTTTCTCATTGTTAGTGTGGTAATGTTTGCACAGATACAATCTGGAGATTAAAACTGGGGATTCGATAACACAGTGGCCTCATCATGATATCACATTGGTTTTCATTTGAGGGAAAAAGAACATATCTTATAAAAACAGGTGTCAAATATAAATATTTTTCTCGGTTCCTCTAACAAGCAGTGTACAGTATTTTAACTGTACACATTTGCTTTAATACACTACACAGTGCATTTTGTGACATATCATTATTCTTGAAATCAAGTAGCTTATGCATGTTTTAGGCCCTGAATCTGTTTCATTATGCAAAGCAAGTTGTTTAGTAGCCTGTGAGATTCACTTGCAGCTTCAACAACCCACAAACTATTGAAAAGAGGGGGTGGCATTACAATTGATATGGTAATATTATGGCCTCCCTAGCGCAGGAACTGAAATGAGGGAAGATGAGTTTGTTAACATGCGCATAAAACAGTCACACACTCAGTGGGCCGAAATTACCTTGTAGGAAGAAACCTGGTTCATTCTCTCCAGCTCTTCCTCAGGTATTAAGATCATGCCATCTGGTGAGTAGGCGGGAGAGCTCAGAATCAGGACAGAAGAGGGGTGGAGTGGCTAGTTGTCTGTCCAGCTGGGGCAGTTGGAGCAATGTCTCTAACCTCACTACTGATATGGGAAATTTGGGCCAAAGCAGATATCTCATATCCAGTATGTAGTAAATGTAGTAAAAATAGTAAAATGAATTAAACGTATGCGTGTTTTGCTCATTTGGAGTACAATAACTACAGTACTGAGAAAATATCAGAGATCACCCTTTTTATTAATTTAATTCCAATCAAAACGACCATTAGATAAAAAGCTGTTCATTTTTTAGCATCAGGAAAAAGCTGAATTTTACATAGAAGCCTCAACAGCTAAATATAATACCAGACTTTCCAGTATTTAGTGTGTCCACCCTTTGCCTTTATTACAGCTCACATTCTTTCATTCATTTTTCAGTTTTTCAAAGAAATCTGCAGAGATGTTTTCCACACCTCCAGTGTTCAGTCTTAGAAGTTTCTTCAGTCAAAGTTCAGTCTTATAAGTGGCTTCTCATAATCCAAGTGACCCCAATAAAAATCTTGAGTCATCAGTTCTGAAAACTTTTAAATTTACTCAAATTTCGATGTTCTACTGCAAAATATCTACTTTCTTTTCTCAGTAAGGGCTTCTTGACAGCTGCACATCCGTTCAGACTCATTTTGTTGACTTATTTTTCTACATCATTTGAACATGGCCACTGTCTTCTGTATTGTCTGAACATTTCATCATAAATAGACAAACATGTTCCTGAATTAATTGCAATAAAATCTCTTTACATTAGCTCACATTCAAGGTTAGGAACATTTTAGCTTTCTCTTATAAAGTTAGAGTTTTAAACAAATACAGTGCATCATTTTATATTTAAGCCTGCTGTAAATGCCTGCTTGGGTGTGTCACTCCATGAAATTGTTGTCTGTTTGTTTGTGTGTGGATGAATACTTGTGAGTGTGCTTCAGCTCGTTCATATGTATTGTGGGCTAACAGCTCTGTTTAACCTTCTGTTTTTTTGTAGGGTTCAACAGAAATGAAGAGATGAAGGCCATCGAGGTGTTGCCTATTCTCAAAGAGAAGGTGGCTTTCTTATCAGGTGAGTGTCAGCAAACACACACCTGCTCCAAAAAATGAAGAAAAGAAAAAGAAGACTGTGACTTTGTACAACATCGCTGTGGTAGAACAAGTACCACTTTCTGTTTCCTTTCCTATTGTGCTGTTACATTCACTGTCCACTATTAGAAACCCCATTCTTCTACTTCCACTCACTGACCACTTTATGAGCTGCACCTATGCTATGTACTTTACATGTCCAAAAGTTTGTAGACACCCAGCATTTCTTCTGAAATCAAGTTTGTTGATATTGAGTTTATCCCCCTTTGCTGCAATAACAGCCTCTGCTCTTCTGAGAAAGCTTTGCAATAGATGTTGGAACATTGTGTGAGGGTTTGATTGCATTCAGCCACAAGAGCATTAGTGAGGTCAGGTACTGATGATGGATGATCAGTTCTGGATAAAAGACTCCACTCTAACTCATCCCAAAGGTATTCAGGCTCACTTTTTGAATAATGCTTAACAAATCTGAATATCAAATTTGACTGAAATATTTGTACCTAATGCAGAAATGGTCAGCTTTCTGTATCAGGATACTAACTGGTCTGCAAAGGCTGCAATAAAACAAGAACCAGCACAATCTTCCGAGAACCTTTAAAACAGGAAGCGTTTACGTATACGACAACTACAGTATTACCCACTGGGGGAAATGGTTTTCACAAAAACAGAATTTGCAAGCAGATTTAGAGCAGTGCTCATTTTCAAGTGGCAGTTAACATGCAGTTACAGATCCTGCAGCCCAGTTCAATTGCCCTGTTATCATTAGTGTCTGTCTCACGAAGATGTCTTCTTGTGTCCCTGGTGGAGATATGAATAAAAATGAGAGTGAGTGTATATTTGCTCCTTTAGTTAGGGCTTCACACAGGGCCTAATATGTAAATGTTTAGGTCCCACAACGCTGAAAAGTGACAGATCTGGCAGGTCAACAAGTGAGGTCCTGAAACCAAACAAGAAAAAAACACACATCAGACACCTAAAGAGTGGATTGACAGGGTTCTGAGGAATCAGGTCATTCTACCAGTGCCAGTGCCACTGAAACAGATGCCAGAACCAGTCTGGGACTTGCTGGATGTGTGATGTGAGCATCTCAGAAGTTCAACCTGCGTTTCTATGGATGTTTGGATGGTCACGTGATTGAACAAATGTAATCATTGTGTTCATAATGATTTCTGCAGTGCGTCTTTAATGCATTCCAAGGGCAAATAGTAGTGACAGTATTATCACAGTATTGCATTCAGGCTGTATGGTGCAGCCCTACTTTCAGATCTTCTTTTGTATGTGTGACTTCTGCCTGAGAGTGACAGCAGTAGGGAAATGCAGGGGCTGTTTAGCTGGCTGACCCAGATAGCTTAAGTATGTTTTAATCCGTGGCAAACCAACTTGTCTATCAGAGGCTTAGCATGGCTAAAGTAGAGATAACACATTTTTCTCTTATTTATTTATTTGTTTTTTGAAACGTTGCACTGGGAATTTAAAGAAGTTCATAAAGGCTAATAGGAGATTGATTCGAAGCGTCATCATTATCTTTGTCAGAAGTTCTAGTGTCTTTTAGTAGGCTCTTACATATTTGCATATTTGTGTGCATCATCAATGATAAGGAACTGTAAGTAGGCCATGGCAAGTCAAATACATATGACTGAAGGGAAATTGTAATTAATTAGTAGCTAGTACTTAGTTGTCAGTGAAATTTTTAATAGATTAATCTAATTATTTATTAGTTTCCGAAAAGTTCATTATAATATTTCATGAGTGGTATGGTTTTCGTAGCGCAGTCGATTGCAGAAGTAAACACTGAGACCTCTTGTTCTCTGGGTATATAAAGTACCACGGTTTTATTAAAGTCACCCTGAAAAAAAATGAACCTTTCCAACCTTTTCATGTCCTGGTCATATTAAGCATGATACATCGTATCATATCTTTAAAAGACTAAATTCCTGTTTTCTCTTGACCGTCCCTAAAACATAATATCAGTTATGATTTCATTAACCAGCAGACGGGAACAACACACACACATCTTCTAAGCCGCTTATCCTTCTGGGTCGTGGGGGGGGGGGGCTGGCGCGGGAACAATAGTAATGTCCATTTATGTCATATTCCACGTCCCCCACCTATCATAGCGAGAAAATGCTCAGCTAGCTCAGATACCCTTTCTGACACTGTTTCATTCAGCAGTATATCACAGTACTGGACATCCTGTTATATTGTGATATTGCATCACGTCCTCTATATTGTGATTCTTATCAACCTGCCAGCACCTAGCCCTACACAACAAAGGTGTCACTCAAAGTCACATTGCACTTTTGGAGAAACCAGATTTTGAACTCTGAACAAATCTTTTGAACGTTGTAAACAAGAAGGCTTATCTAGTGCGTGAGTATGAATATTCTCTGATAGAGACAGCGGGCTGAGCTCACTGGTCAGTGTGTGATGTGTCTGTGTCTTGGTGTGTTCTGCAGGGGGCAGAGACAGACGCGGCGGCCCGGTCCTCACTTTCCCTGCCCGCAGCAACCATGACAGAATACGACAGGAGGACCTCAGGCGTCTCATCGCCTACCTGGCAGGCATCCCCAGGTATTGTGTGTGTGTGTGTGTGTGTGTGTGTGTGTCTGTGTGTTGCTGTGTTTGTGTACTCTTTTTCTCCTTTTCTGGTTTGAGTGTATGAATGATAAAAGGAAAATAAAAAAAAATTGTGTTGTGGGGTCAATGAGAGGTCTCTGTTAGTATAAAATACTGCTTTTATTTGAGAAAATAAAAGAGGCCAGTGATGAAGCAGGTTAGGTTCAGATTTTGATGCAGGCATTTTTCAAGTTTAATTGGAAACTATAAAGTTAAAAAGTGTGTACAAGTGTGTGAGAGGGTGTTAGTCATATATCATTTACAAATTTGCGATTGTAGCCCTCTCGTTTAAATGCAGCTTTTTGAGTCAGTTCCATCCCCTGTTTAGCATTTAAGAGTCATGTATCTATCTAGGTGCGAAGTTTGTAACAAATTCTCCTTTTATTTATCATCCTTCAACATCAGTCAATTTCAGATTTATGTTTTTAGTTCAGTTGTTTTTATTTCTTTTGTTGAGTTACTTTATTTGGCTAGTTTGCTGTCCTGCACCATTTTTCCATCGCCCACATGCAACCTACAAACCACATTTCCGGAACTTGGAACATTTTGTTAAATGCAAAAAAAACAAGAATGTGTTATTTGTTTATTCTCTTATTTAACTGACAAAAGTACAAACAAATGTTTAATGTTTTAATGTTGATTCTATTTTGTAACACAAAAAAGTTGGGACAGAGCAAAATAAGGGTGAAATGTTTATAGAATATTCAAGTTACACTGTTTTAAAAACATTCAACAATAACCAGGTAAATGGGTGTGGGTTTCATGATTGGGTATAAAAGGAGCATCCACCAAAGGCTTAGTATTTGCAAACAAAGATAGGTTGTGGCTCACCACTTTGTGCCAAAGTTTGTGAGAGAATTATAAAAGATTCAGAGAATCTGGAAAAATCTCAAAACCAGTAACCACTGTTATATGTATGTGACCTTCAAGCCCCCAGCATTGCATGATCATACCACTATGTCAAATATGTCTGTGTGGGCTCGGGAGTATTTTGTAAAACCATTGTCGCTTAACACCGTCTGCCGCTGCATCAAGAAATGCAACTTGAAATTCTATTATGCAAGGAGAAAACCATATATCAATTCTATGCAGAAACACTGCCGTGTTCTCTGGGCCTAAGCTCATCTCGGATGGTCTGAAAGACAGTGGAAACGTGTGCTGTGGTCAGATGAGTCCATGTTTCATTTTGTTTTTGGGAAAAATGGATGTCAAATTCTCTGTGCCAGAAAGGACTGCCAGGCCTCATTCTCCATGTGCTACAACAGCGTGGCTTCATAGACACAGAGTGCGTGTGCCTGACTGGCCTGCCTACAGTACAAACCTGTCTCCTATAGACAATGTATGCCGTAGCATGAGGAGTAGAATAACACAAGGAAAACCACAAGCTGTTGAGCAGAGTCTTGTATCAAGCAAGAGAGGGCAAAAATTCAACTTGCAAAACTGTGCCAGTTAGGATTTTCAGTTCCTAAATGAATAAAAAAGTGTAATTAAAAGGAAAGCTGATGTAACTCTGCAGTAAATAAGCCCCTGTCCCAGCACTTTTGCGTATGTTACAGGCATCAAATTCTAAATATGTTTATATTTACAAAATACAGTTAAGTTGGTCAGTGAAAACACTTTGTACTATTTTTTTGTACTTTTCTTTGTACTTACATCTGAAGAAAGGATATTAGGTTCAAGAGAATAAACAAATCACAATTTCTTGTTTTTTTATTGCATTTTCCAAAATGTCTAAACCTTTCTGGAAATGTTTTGTAAATGTTTTCTCTTGCTCCTGCTCGAAAACTCGTATAGCTGGTATCCATCTCTGATTGGTTACTTTCTACTTAGAGAGAGTTTAGAACTTCTATTTAGAATGTGTTTATTACTTTTTATTAACTTGCTGTTAGATGTTTGTTACATATGGTAATTATTAAGCGTTTATCGTTTTATTTAGGCTATTCGTTAATTTGTGGGTTTTCTCTACATGTATTGACCCGCTCCTGTCTGCACAGTGCTGATTAACCGCCTGCTCCCATGCGTGACACTGAAAATTAGCTTTGTGCCACAAGTTGTTGTGATAATGCAGATAATGATAATGAACACAGAGATAGTCTGGTTCCGAGCTCCCTAGTTTTAGCGTCACCCTTACCATAGAATGATGGAAAATAGTGGTGCTCATAAGGGCTGCTACACTTCCATGTCCCGTAATTTAAAGATTTCTTTGGCATCTATGCTCTTTTTGTATAAATGACTGTGTGGAATGTGTGAAAAAAGACTGAGCTTCCAAACGATGAATTCAGAACCGAAAAGCAACATAATGAATGACAAAATTTCAGTAGTTGTGGCCAGCTTAGGGTGCAAATTTAATCAGATTCTCTGTATATGTATATCAGACCTTCTCAAGTAAAAGACCCCAAAGATTTGCTTTTGGTCACTGAAGTTAGTTCAGGATTGGGTTCGGTATAGCACAACAGCATTGAGCTACTGAAGGCAGCAGAAAGACCTCACATACAGAAGACAAACGAGAGGTTGTGTGTAATGGATCAAAGCTAAGCAGCTGAAGTGGAAACCTTGTGCTGAAGGACTTCTCTTTGAGAGCTATTGCCCTCTTAGTGACCCTTAGGTCCCCTGCTGTGTTAGAATAAGGGAGGGTGCAGGTGTGACACCCCTCACTCCCCTACTCAAGGTGGACTTCTATCACCAAGGTCTTTGTGTATGTACGTGCAGTCCTACAGGGATCCCTGTTCTTTTAGCAGTTACTAATAGTTGCTACATGCTTGTGTCTTAAATGGAAATTCCACCCATTATTCAAAACTTCTGTACAATTTAGTGATGTCTGAAGAGTTTAAAGCTATCTCACAGAAAATTATTACATGAAATGGTTAAGAATACGCTTCTCGATGCCTGTAGCACCGTATTACAAAAGTTTTGAGAAGATTTTGGCCAAAAATAGTCCCCAAAGGAACCTAATTTTCAGATTTACCACTATTTTACCACCAACATTACATATAAAAGCTCAGAAGACACACTTAGGTTCATTGGTGACTGTAGTAAATAAAAAGACTATTTGTGTTGTAGACATTGTGGCCTCTGGTTTCTGTCACCACCACTGTAAAAAATCTGAATAGGTAAGTTTCTTAACAGTAAACCATTTCACATCAAACCACTCTGAAAGAGTTTGATCTCAACCACTGAAACATGTTGAAATTTAATTAGGTTGGATACAAAATCAGCCCTGTGCAGACTCGCTCTTCATACCCAGTCCTCATGTGTGGGTTTGCAGCAGTGCGGATTCTCAGCCTGTATTGATTCAACTCGGAGGGAAACACAGTGGTGTGCCACGTGAGCCCGTGCTAAGGGAACGTGGCGCAGAGGCAGCCAGCTTCGCATGATGCAGAACTTTATGTGGGTTAGCATCTGCCCCAAGGCCCCTTCCGAACAGGGTTCCGGAGGATCCGGACCCTCAGAACCATACACTGCAATATAGACAGATCAGAGATGGAGCTGTTGTGGTACTTACAAAAAGACTAAAAAGGCCATAACGCAGGCACTAATTCTGAGAAAGCCACAAAGCCTTCATGTAAGTGCACATCCAAAAGAGGCATTTTTCTCTGTGAGGCACCACAGTTCCAAAACTTGTTGCTGTCCTGAATTAATAATGTACTGGCCGCGAGCATTCGGGCAGGCGTTAATGTTGAACACAGTATGAGGACTTTGTGATTCTGCATCACATCAAGCAAACATTCCACTTCGCAGCCTTCATACTGTCCTCATCGCAGCTTCTGTTTCACACACAGACGTCTCTGATGGACAGGAGAGTGATGTCACACATCACGAACAAAATTCAGTTTTGACTGATTCAGCAGACGCATTTTTCGTTTATGTTAACTGTCTTTCTGTGTAAGTTAGAGTAAGCTAACAGGCTATAAGCCTCCAATGTTCAGAGACAGACTTTAATTAAACCTTTACTGAAGGAGTCCACATCCAAACTGTAACAGCCAAAGTACAGAATATGCTTCTTGAATGTCATTAATGAGCTTCTGTCTGCTTTTATGCTGCTATAAAAACAGTAACGTTGCAGCACCGTTAGCTTATTGCTAACATTCAAAATAATGATCTCCTAGCAAAAATTAGCTGACAGAGAGAGTGGGACAGAGGTGGGCAGGGGGAAGGGATGAGGGGTAGCAAGAGGGGGAGATATTAACATATTCTTTACATCCAAAGTAAAGAATATGCTACTTGAATGTCATTAGCATCAAATTGTCTACTTTTAAGCTGATAAAAAAATGGTACGGCACCATTAGCTTGGTGCTAACATAACATGCAAAATCTCCTAGCAGAAGATAGCAGACAGACAGAGAGACAGAGAGAAACAGAGACAGACGGTTGGAGAGCAAGAGAGGAAGATGTTAACATATTCTTTACATCCAAATTAAAGAATACGCTAATTAAATATCAGGTATGAGCTTCAAATCATCTGCTTTTAAGCTGCTTTAAAAACAGTACAGCACCGTTAGCTTGATGCTAATGTGACATTCAAAATCTCCTAGCAGAAAATAGCAGATGAAGAGAGAGGGACAAAGAAACAGAGACAAGGGGAGCAAGAGAGGATGATGTTTACATATTCTTTACATCCAAAGTAAAGAATATGCTACTTGAATGTCAGTTATGGGCTTCAAATCATCTGCTTTTAGGCTGCTATAAAAATGTTATAGTACCGTTAGCTTGGTCTTAACATAGCATTCAAATTCCCTAGCAGAAATGAAATTAGCAGAGAGAAACATAGAGAAATTAGCATCGTCTTAGTGATAAAAAACAGGTAAACCAGAGGTAATTACAAAGCAGATTCTGAATTAAACACTGTTTTCTAATGACATGCTAACTCTCAGTGCTAACCTCCTCTGAGACAGCCGGTGAGAGCAGTGGCCAAAAACAGCAGAGTAAAACATCATACAGAGACTCAGTTAAGGTGTTACTTGTTTTCCAAGCGTCTTTCCAAGTGTCTTTCAGTGAGCACCATTATGTTAAACTGGAAAAAAGTCTGCTTTACAGGGACACAGGAACGTGTTTGAAGTTGCCGGTATGTGACATGAATGATGACATCATGCAAAATGATTTGCCTTTTTTAATTTATGTCAAAAATATCGTATCATAACGTGCTATAATGAGACGAGAGATACGCATCCTCTCTTCGCTACTTTGTTCTGGATGGACTAGTGGTCTCTACTGGAAACCATATTAAGCCAGTTCCCATTAGCAAGTTAAGAAGAATTGTTAACAATTACGTCTTCTTTCCAGACGTGAGGTGCTACAGTTCCAGTAATCCCTCTTCTGCTTCAACTTGTGATTGTTTTCTGCTTGATGAAAATGCTGACATTGCTAAAAAGGAATGAAAGCTACTGGGACTCACTGTTAGATTTTATTAGTACTGGCTTAGCATTATGCATCATGCTAGCATTATAAGCCACGCTAACTGTTCTTTTAGCGTGGCTTATAATGTTTCTTGGGGTGAAGTATTCCTTTAACCATTTATTGACAGGAGAGATTTTTTTATACAACAAGCATTAGTGTGTGCAGAGGAGAAGCTGGTGCCGCAGGACGATGTCCCAGCCTCAGGTGATAACAGGGTGTCTGTGAGTCATGTAAAAGTCTTACATTTGACAGATTAAAGGCCTTAATAAGTATTAAATCATCCTAAATTTGATTCAGTTTGATTTTCAGGTACAGACATGTGTCTCACGCACCATTGAATGTTAGCTTTGGGTTAAAACTTGCGTTTTGCTGTCTAGCTAGCACACAGAGGTGTGGTGAAATGGTATGGTACGTTTGTTAAGGCAAAGTTTCTGTACATTTACATTTGAGGTGGTAAGAAAAAGTCTTAAATGTTGCTTTTAACTTGAGTAAACATGCAGACACGCTGGATAATACTGTTTCAAACCTCTCTCCTCCTAAGAGAGCCATCATAGAGGGTCGGAGACGGACCCCTGGGTTAGGAAAACAGACTCTGGGCGTCTGGGGGCCGTCAGTCTTGGTAGCTGTCCAGCATATCAGATGACCTGAGAGAGATATACAGGCTGAGAGACCGCACTGTTCTGACTCGGTCTTCTGTCTCTCTTTCTGTATCTCTCTGTCTCTCTTTCTCGCTGTGTATCTCACTATACATCCATATATGTTCTCTGCTGCTCTTTCTCTCTTTCTCTGTCACAAAGCTCTTCTTTTCATCCTTCCTTCTTTCCTTCCTTCTTTCATTTCTTCTACCCCTTTCTTCTGCTCCCCCCCTTCTGTTTTTCTTTCTCTTGCTCTCTGTTTTCTCTGTCTTACTTTTTCTCTCTTGCTCGCTCTTTCTGTTTTTCTCTCTTCCTCTTTCTCACTTTCTATATCTCTACATCTGTTTTTGTATGTATCTCTATAAACATCCCAAACATTCTACATTACTCATCCTGTTCCTCTCAGTCACAAACCTCTTCCTTTTGTACTTCCTTCCTTCTCTCCTTTCTTCCATCCTTGCTTTAAATAATCGTCTCACTCTCTTTTCATTGTTTTCTTCTGTCCCTCCCCCTCTTCCTCTCTTCCTCTCTCTCTCTCGTCCTCTGTCTCTCTCTCTCTCTCCTCTCTCCCTGTCTCTCCTGTTTCTGTCTCTCTCTCTCACTCTCTCTCCTTTCTCTCTCTCTATCTCTGTCTGTCTGAATGTGCGTCTCTCTCTGTCAGTCTCTCTCTCTCTCTCTCTCTCTCTCTCTCTCTCTCTCTCACTGGGAGAGGGAGGTCGGTATGATTCAGATGTGCTCTGTTCACTCCTCTGTTAGAGTCAGAGGCAGGCAGGAAGTGCAGCTGTGGATGTCAAAGCTTGCTCAGGTCCTCTGGTGTCTTTTTCCAACTCGGGACACTTTGCTTACCACGATCGTTCCTACATCGGTTTTCTTTTATTTTCTGTGCTTTCTCTGTAGGATTTGTTACATGTCCTGTAACTGTAAGTATTATTTATTAGGAAACGTAATAGGTTGCACATTGTGATTAATAGGTTATCTTACTAAGGTGGAGTTTTTGTGATGCTTTGACGCTCAACACTCAGTTGCACTTTTTTTGTTTGTGTTTGGGTGCAGTGAGGAAGTTAGCAGACATGGCTTCACGGTCATCGTGGACATGCGCGGCTCCAAATGGGACTCTATCAAGCCCCTGCTGAAGATCCTCCAGGAGTCCTTCCCCTCCTGCATCCACGTCGCGCTCATCATCAAACCCGACAACTTCTGGCAGAAACAGAGGACCAACTTTGGCAGCTCCAAATTCGAATTTGAGGTAAGGCGTCTACATTGCCCCGTCATACACACACATAAAAGCGTCTTATCAAGTGGAAGGACAAATGATCATCTACTGTTCACTTTCTGGAATTGTGCTGTTACAGTAAGTAAAACTGAACCAGTATAGCATTAATGTGATGCTGTCATATCAAAACAGTTTATCTTGAATCTTTATACCAACGCCAGCAACCTTTACTTCGCAAGAACATTTCATGAAGCAAACCAATATAAATGGTCCAAAATTGCTTGGAATAACTTTACATTAGTAAGAACGTTGCTGTTGTGTGATTGTGGTGGTCCCACCTGTCGACCACCCTGAGGTCATTCAGTCAAGGTTATTTCAGTAGCTACTGTTTAGCTACTGCAGTGTTAGCATTTTGGTGTAATGGCAGCTTATTTAACACTTTATTTTATTTAAAAACTACATGCAGTCATATTAAGAAACTTTAGCCAGTGGAGCTGCATCTACAGCTACTGTTTGGTCGTTCACATTATCTTTTAATGTGACCTATTCTGATACCAGTCTAAACAGAACATGCTCCTGAACTGACTCACATGCACAAAAGAACATATATCCGCCTGTCACACTCATCCAACAAACATGGCTGTCCTCTATATGTCCTTAAGATTAATAGACTCATTTCATGTAACGTCAAACTTTAACAGGTGCAAACTGATACTTTAAACCTCAAGGACAAATAGCAGACACCAAAATGACCACACTGGACAAAGTTTAAAGAAAACATTAAACATTGTAAATTTGTGTGTTTGTTTTATTTGTGGAAGCTGATCAAACAGAGAAAGGAAGCTCAGTTTGTCTACCTGCTGTGAAACAAAAGAAGAATTTTAGCCCCACATATGAAAATGACCCAAATCTGAATTGAACTTGTCAGATTAAATGTGTTTTTTGTGATCGGATTTTGGACACTTTTACTTGCAGTGTGAGTGTAACCTATGATGCCGGGCAGACCAGCTCAGCAGGAAGGACCACTATGGTCACCTCACCACCATGTTAGCTATTGTGGTAGTTACATTTCCAAAATTACAACAGAATTTGATCATAAAAACAACAAATCAAATGCAAGAAAAATGCAAAAATTTACTGTTCACTATTTGGAGTTATTATTTCAGTGAGTGAAACTGAAATACAAAGCTGAAGTGAAACTTCAATGTTTATGTTTAAACTTTATAATAACGCCCCCTATTTTTACTTCATGGGAACATTACATGACAGTGAACAGGTATAAATGGTTCAAAATTATTTCACAATAACTTCACAATAAATTGTGTTTATTTACTAATAAATAACAAAAGACAAAATAACAAAAAGTGCACCATACCACCACATTAACTATTTCATTAGTTAGATTTACCGAATTATGACTGAAAAGTCTGATTTGTCTGACCATGTCTGACCAAACAGGTTTGTTAAAAGGGAAAAACCTCCAAAGCAAGTGGTCACAGATTCTGAATTTTCAAACAGCCAAAATGTGAAATGGGCACCAGACGATAGACAGAAAGAAGGTATCAGAAAACTGTCATTCAGGAATCAATATCGAAATCAAGGTGTTGGTATCTGTCAAGCAGTTCTGAAACATATCTAACTCTAGTTATGACAGTGATGATGCGCACAAACATAAAGCATGAATTCCAGGCTTATTTTGAAAACCAGTTCTTGGGCTGCACTTGTGTTTCCTCGAGAGAAAGCAGATTTGCGCAGATGATGGCTTTCTGGAACATTCTCAGTGCTGGTGAGAAACTAGAGCTGTTAAAATTAGTGCTGACCTATTTAAGGGAAGATGCAAGATGGATAGAGCCACAGCTTCATCCAGTATAATCAGGTTAGGGGTCAGACTGCAGACTGCATCTTTTCCAGCTAAACTTCACAGCACAGAAATGATGCTTTATATAAACCTGTAATCGCTGTTTTATTGTCCATTAAACATTTATTATTACACCAAGCATCTTATGAGCTGAATCAATGCCCAGTAATGTGTATCTCCACTGAAGCTTTGTTACTAGACACATATGAAAATGTTCAAGATTTCAATGCAGTTATAAATTGTTAAAAAGTGTAACTGTAAAATAAAATTGCACTGTCTGTTGGGGACCACTCCCAGAGCCCCTTCTTAGAACTGAGAGTTATTACACGTGTGTCCACTGTTGTCTCTGACAACATGACCTGTGTGGAAATCTGTGGAATGTTCTCTGGCTCTGCTTAAGTAAAGCATTGGATGAAAATGATCTGACAGGGAGCACATTCCTGCTGCAAACAGGCCCTAATTGTGTTGTTTTTAAAACGCTGTTCCTGGACCATGGAAGCCTCCCACTGAGCGGATGACAACAGGAAAATGTGTCAGGACGTGAAGGCTGCTGTAATATCGCACACCAAAAAGCGCTCACTCACTGAACGCTCTGAGAGCTCTGAGAGTCTGAGCTCTGGTCTGCTGTCCTAATGTGAAAGTGTCAAATTGCTACTGTGATAAAAGATATATTTGTACTGTATTATATGAATTACTTTTTAAATGTAATGTATTATATTGTGTCAGGTTTTTAGTAGGAGCTGCACTGTAGGATATATCAAAATCAGTGAAGATTACCAGCTCAAAGCTGGATTTCGTACTCTTGCTCATATTTTGTCACCTAAGTGTTTTCCAACTGAGTAGAAACCTACTGTATATTTCCTTTAAACGCTCTGCTCAGTCTTTCATATCAGTGCTTTTCCACTCAGTTCCAGCAGTCCATCCGACAGTTAACATATGCCCTAACATAGCTCCCAGTTCAGTGTTCTTAGTGGCTTGATCAAAGTTTGTTGGGAGCTGGGTTTGAGCCAAATCGTGGACCCCAAAGTTGGTTCCACGTTCCTGTCTGACTGTACTTGGAAACACCCACAACAACAAATGCCAAATAATGCGACAAGAGAGTCTAAGTGAGCTGCTGTCAAATAACCCTAATTAAAAAAAAAATCAGCAGAGCTCACATATTAAATTACTTTGCTGTCTAGATGATTAGGATTACATCGTTGATGTGCACGAAACAATGCAAACAATGAATTGGTTATTTCAGACTGAAAGGAAAGGAAGTAATTCATCAAATTTAGCTGAAAGACTGGCATCATGTTGCAAAGGAGCTCACGTAGGTCACTTTCGCTTCAGTCTGATGATTAATTAACACTTAGTGTAATGAAAATGCTTTTATCTAGAAATACTTGTATTACTGTTAAGTTTCTTTGATATTTATATGGGCATTGCTTTGTACTTTTGTTTGAAATAACTGGCATACAATATTTGATGTGGCTTAATTGTAACCTAATTACTGTACACGTTTAAGCTAGACCTCATTGTAATGTCTTTATTGCTCAAACACGTGTGCAAAATATAATGTTAGTTATGTGTAATGTTATGTAAGGTTTAAGGGAGCTTTATTGTTTGATTTGATTTTGCTAGTGTTTGCCAGTATCTAGAAAAGTAGTATTATCTTTCTTTGACATTGTATTACCGAAACAGTAATGTTTACTTCAATAATGTAAACAATAATAATGTGGATGATGAGAGCTGCTGTTTACTTATGTTAACTACATGAAAGCTACAAGTCAAGGAGTGTCTGCTGAATGGGATTTCTTTTTTTTAATTGAAAGTATTGAGAATAGTGCGATTTCACATTAAAGCATTAAATACCTAAATTTTGGTATTGTGATTTCTCTTCACTGCTGCCTTAAGTGGAGGTTTAATGAGACTTTATGCAAATAAGATGTGAATTTTGCTGGACTATTAGATTGAAAGTTTGGTTTTGAATATATTTAGGTATATTTAGCTTGCTTGTATTAGTTTGTATGCCTCTGTCCATGTCAGTTAGAACATTTGACATTGCCAGTGACATGCAAGTGGTCAACCGGGGGAACTATTGTGAACGCTATTATAGCCCTTATGTCAACATCCTAAAGTGTAAAACTCCTTATTATTCATCATAATTGTTCACTAAGTTAATGTTATAGGAGTACAGAATAATGGTCTGCACCCCAAAACATCCATGAAAGTCAAGGGGTTAATGGTGTTTTCATTTATCTCTCCGTCCTTCTCGTAGACCATCATGGTGTCCCTGGATGGACTGTCCAAAATGGTGGACCCCTCGCAGCTGACGGCTGACTTTGATGGCAGCTTGGACTACAACCATGAGGAGTGGATTGAGGTGCGTGTGGCCTTCGAAGAGTTCACAAGCAATGCGGCTCGCGTGCTGACCCGTCTGGAGGAGCTGCAGGACCTGGTGTCTCAGCGGGAGCTCCCAACCGATCTAGACGGCGCACGGCGCAGCATAGAGGAACATGCCTCTCTTAAGAAGCGAGTCACCAAAGCTCCGGTGGAGGAACTGGATGCTGAGGGCCAGCGGCTGCTGCAGCGTATCCAGGGTGGCGAGCGGGGCTGTGGGGACGTGCAGGGCCTCATCCCCAAGGTCTCTGCCCTGCTGGACAAACTTCACAGCACCCGGCAGCACCTGCACCAGGCCTGGCACATGCGCAAACTCAAGCTGGACCAGTGCTTCCAACTCCGGCTCTTTGAGCAGGATGCAGAAAAGGTGAGTGTTAAAATTGGCGTTCAGCTAATGGTGGTATTGAATGATAGAATTTATGCTAATGTTGAATTATAGTGAAAGCAGGATTTGTGATAATATGTGAGTACTCTGCACAAGTCGGAGAACACCCTTCTTTTATTACATTTCCAGTCAAAACGGCCAAGTTCTTCATTTTCCCGCATCGGGAAAAACAGAAAACAGAAACCAAAAGAAAATTATGCAGAAAACTCCTCAGCTAAATCTGACCACACTTTTTTCACTCTTTTCATGTATTACAGCTTCCATTCTTTTCAAAGACTTGCTTTCCATTTTTCAAAAAACAAATCTGCAGGGATATTTTTCCCTCTCTCTGAAGATGGTCTATTGGTCTATTTTTTTTTTCTCAGTAAGCACTTCTTGACAGCTACACATCCTTTCATACTCAATGTGTTGAGTTGTCTTCTCACAGTGAAAGGATGCACAGAAACATCAGATCTGAAGCAAGAGTGGAGCTTGATTTTCTCCTCTCTCTCAAAGATGAAAGCTTAAGAAAGTACTGATTTTCTGATTGTGACAGTTTTGTGGTCTACTATGTCCTGCACGGTGGTTAGGAGTCCCCTGTCTCTTTTGTTTTGAGCTCCAATTTTGAAACACCTGTTTTTTCCACAGATTTTTGTAGAACTAGATTTTTTGTAGAACTACTTTAGTAGAACTTATATCTGATATCCTTACAAATATCTCCTAAAAAGTGATAAACTTGTACTTAATGGCCATTTTGGTTGTAAAGTACATGGGACTGGTCTCTGACTTTTGCACATACTGTATGTCTATAAAACGAAGTAGGTTTGCTGCTAATATAAGTATTGAATGATGAAGCTGTTGCTAATGTTAGTGCTGCACTGTAAAATGAAACTCGTACTGGTTAATAGTAGTGAATGAAGAACTGGTGCTGATGTTATATAGTGTTGAGCAGTAGTAAATGGAGGATTAGCACCAGTGCCTCCACTGAATCATGGTCAGTAATCTGGTGCTAATATAATTATTGGATGATCTGATTACTGCTTTAAGTAATAAATGGTCAGAATACTGCTAATTGTACTTTAGAACAGTTGTGAATGGTAGGATTGGTGTTTATAATAGTGTTGAATAGTAGTGAATCCTACATGAATAGTGTAGAATAATGATCTGGTGTTAATATTAGCATTGAATGGTCAGATTAATGGTTATATTCATATTGAATTGCTGTGAATGGTAGAACTAGTGTTAATATTAGTGTTGAATAGTAGTTAATACAAAACTAGCCCCATTACTAGCACTGAGAACTGAAAGGTGAAATTGATGCTAATATTATTCTTGAATAGTTGTGAATTGTAGCACCAGTGCTAACATAAGAAGTTACCAAGCCATGTGCTGAAATGTTTAACAACTTAGACGAAGGGACCAGGAAAAGTAATGCTAGTGTTTGTCGTCATACTTGCTAGATTTTTCCCTGACTGTATACTTCCTTTTGTAATCTTTCCACTTGTTTTACTACCACTCCCATAGATGTTTGACTGGATTGTGCACAACAAGGGCCTGTTCCTGACCAGCTACACAGAGATAGGAGCCAACCACCAGCACGTGCTGGAGCTGCAGACCCAGCACAATCACTTCGCAATGAACTGCATGGTAAGAACCGCTCAGCACCCAGTGGAGCAGCACTCATATCTCTCCCCCCGGCAGGCATTGTTACACACTGCACTGTGTCCCGCTCTTACATCACAGCAAATTGCGCTGTGTGTGCCATTACACGTGAGTGCCTCATACCACTCAGTCGGGAAACACAATGACACGATGGGAGCAAAATACCATATTATGACTGTATTGCTACATATTACATCGCAATGTGCCTGACAGTGTACTGCAAACACGCTGGCAAACTCTTGATGCAATTAGAGACTAGTCTGCATTATTGTGATCAAAATGATTTACGTTTATTGGATCATGTGAATGTTTTGATTACTTCACTTGGCAGCTTTGCACAGCAGACTCACTGGAGATTGTGATTTGGCACACCTTGTGAAACTTTTCACAATTCTAGGCGACAGTACAGTTTTAACTCCAGGCGCAGCCAGATAAGTTTCCTACAGCTCCAGATTGCTGGCTAGCCAGCATGTTCCCAGTTACATTTATTACTGAGAATGAATGAGCGCATACCGGCTATGTATCTGTAGGAAATTTATTCTGACTGCACCAGGCAAATTAGGGGTTTTGGAGGGCTTAGAAAGCTTGATCCTGTCCATTTTCACTGACAAGAGTTGACCAGTATGTTGTTTTCATTTTAAGAGGTTGAAAAGACACTGTTTCCTCTGCATTCCTGCATTCCGCCGCTCAGTGCTGTTCAAACAAAGCCATCAACCTGTTCAGGGTTGCCAGATTGGGCAGGATCCCCAGTTAAGCATTTTAATGCACTTGTTAGGAAAATAAATATTATCAGTAAATAGATTAAAAACAAATAAATATAATTTATGTAATAGCTCAAAATAAATAATAGTAACAGAAATAATAAGTGATCACAATATCTGTAATCATGAATTAATTCTTAGCAATAAAACAAAAGATCAACAATAATAAATAATAAACAACAAACATAAATATTTTTATTCTGTTATTAAAGTGAATATTCTTATAGAATGTTCAATTTTAAGATTGTAATTTCAAATTTTCAAATTTAAATTTATGAGATTATTCAGAATTTAAAATACTCAGTAGTTGCAGCCCTGCTCAATTGCCTCAGCTGCCTAAATTTGAGCTTTAACCTAGGTTAGGATGGTGTAGTATCTACTATTCTGTGTAATATTTGGTATAGTTTGTGATGCTGTTTGGCTCTCACAGTGAGTGTGTGACTATTGACTCTGAGTCTGTTTAACCCTTTAAATGGCCAGGAGTTTCCAGCAGGGCCAGATCTCTATTTCTCACCCCTACTTAGCTAGATTGCATTGTTCTCTTTGTAGTCACTGAATAATCAGCCTCAGATTGTAATAAACCTGGGAATTTAAGGGATTCAATTGTCTTCTGATGTCTACAAGAATATCTCCATTCTAAGCACTGTAGTGCGTTGATGCTGTATTTGTATTGTTGAAAAAATGTCCTTATTTGTTGGGCCCTAACAGTTTGCTCCATGTTTTCATCTTGGAATAATCCTGCTCTGTCCTTCCATATTTAGTAGAAAAGTTTATTCAGTGGGAATATGATGTCTAAAACATACAAGAACACACACACTCATAGTATTGTTGCGTTTAACTTGGAATTTGTTGTTTTCAGACAGTAAATATATCATGGATGTCAAAGTTGTCACTCATGTCACTATCATTAGCTGACTGTCGTGTATCTAACAGTAATCGATTTCATTCAGGGTCATTTTGAATGTGCGCATTCCCATCTACAATTCTTATGATACTGTTGCTGTGGGTTATTTATGTGTGTCTGTTGAATGATTGATGACACTCTGGCTATTCTCCTCCTGACTTTTGCTGAAATCATCTCTAGAGGACATCTGGTTCCAGCTCCAGTAAGCTTCTGTACAGCCCCAGTGTATTGACAGCAGTTCAATAGGCATTTTATGAGAACGCCAATGCTCATTCCATGGTGCACTGAAAGGCTGGTTGTAACCATCCCAGTAACCAGGCTTTAGTGCTCAGTGAGCTTCATGGGTTAATGATACCAGAGAGAGAAATATTGGGCATGTCAGGGTTAAATGATTCTATGTACACTCAGTCACACTGCATAATGAGGAGAAAGTAGTTAAAACACCGCCCCATCTTGCCAACGGCTTATTACTCATAGCAGGATCCATAAGCAATCTTGCATCATTGTTGTCTATTGATCAGTTCACTGTAATTGTCAGTTCACGATGATTATCAGTCGTTATGTGTTTATCGTTTGAAATGTGTCACTGTTTCCTAAGAAAGGATTCACAGTCTATTATGCATGGCTTTAACTTCTTCATGTCTAAAGTTATTATTGCAGTTTTACTGTACTCTACAAATGTATTTACGTAATTAAACTGTAAAGGTGATTTTCCTGAAGAAAATGCGCAGTGCGTAGCTTAAGGATTTCCTCTGGTATTGCTAGGGTGTTGCTCGATTGTTGCTGTAGTATTTTAGGCAGTTGCTAGGTGGTTGCTGTAGTGTTTCAAGTGGTTGCTAGTAGGGGTGGGCAATATGATGATATTTTATCATAATAGTGATAAATTATGTCACACCGCGCTTTTCTGAGCATATCATGGATATTGTCACTGCCTCAAGCCCACTAAGTCACTACATGATTCATTACAGAGAGAGCATAAATGGTCCTTTCTAACTGGATTTAATGTACCACAGTATGTAAAACATTAAAGAAAAATCATTGTACTCCCAGTATGATAGTATTTAATGATATATATCGTGAAAATCATTGGATCACTGTCAATCACTGACACTGTCAATATGTTTACCACCATTATGTGCAATTATGTCAAGTGCAATATTTCTCCATTTATTACTGTTTATTTATTTGCTTTTTTATTCACTGTGCAATACTCACTACAATACATACATTTCTACATTTCTAAATTTAAATGTAATACTTTGTATATTTTTCTTGTAATTTTTGTACATATACATATATCTTTATATTTTCATTGTTTATTCTATTTTATATATTGTTTGTATATTTCCTGCTGCTCTGTCTTCTGTGCTGCTGTAACACCGCAAATTTCCCCATTGTGGGATTAATAAAGGATTATCTTATCTTATCTTATCTTATCTTATCTAAAATGTCCTCAAGTATCGTGATATTAGGTTTTTGCCATATCGGCCAGCCCTAGTTGACAGGATGTGAGTAGGCGCTTGCTGTGTTATCCAAGGTGGTTGCTTAGGTTTTACTAGGCAGTTGCTTTGGCATCCTAGGTAGTTGCTGGGGTGTTGGTTCATATGTTATTCCAGGTGGTTCCTAGGGACCTGCTATGTTATTGCTGACATATTGGAGGTGGTTGCTAGGGTAGCTATGGAAATGCTTCTTGATGTGCATTGTGCAATCATTAATAATTATTTTCAGAATAAGTTGTATGATGTGTTAATTCCATTAATTTTTTTATAGATAGTTTTGAGTCTGTACTTCCCACATTTTTTATTTTTTATCAATGACAAAAATGAAAAATGTAAAAAAAATGTAAAAAACAATAAATAAAAGTTTTTTTCTTTCTTTTAGCAAAACAAGACTGTATCCATAGCAGTAACTTCTCAGCAAATTCAAATCGTTAGAAAATATTTCTTCTTCTACTTAGAAATGTGGGATCAATTTAATGTTTTGACAGAAAATCTCAGCTTGTTTCACAAAGTAGTTGTGTGTTTACAAAGACTCCAGACATACAGATGTAAGAAGTCTGTATTGATTTGTTCACAGTCATTTAGTTTTTTTTTATAGTGTCAAAGAAATGAAAAGCCGTTTCTCTGTTGCATGCTGTTTGGCTTTGCTCTGATGGTGTAATATGATATGTACGGGTATTTGAGTGTGTAGGGGTAGAGGTATGCAAGGGCCTTCCTCACTGTTGACTCGTTCTACATGAGTTTCCCATTAATCGGTGAGTGTTGGTCTCTGAGTAACCCCGCGGTCCTCCTCTGCTCTCTATATGGAAGCCCCTGCAGTAATGGAGCCGTCTTTTTAATGCCCTGCAGATGGATCTGCTGCAGCATGCTGAGCTTTTAGAAGTGGTGGTCCTGTAGCTGTGGTCAAAAAATGGATGTTGGTGGCCTGGCAGTCTACACAATATAGTTGACTAAATGGAAGACGCCCATGATGTATTTAGAAGACCACCCAGATGTGATGTTGGGATTGCATTTCAGCATATATAATGGTGGATTGCAGTTTAATTGATTTGTTTCTGCTAGGAATAGAGTATTGAGCCAGGAGAAACGCCCACTGTCTGCACATTTTAGTGTTTTCTTGCACTAACGCAGCCATTTTAACCTCATGAAAAGCTTGGCAATGACATGATGAGTTGAATCCGGTATGTTAGTGCAGGAACAATACACAATCAGGATTGGGAAACAATGTACTGAACAAATTGTAACTCCTAGTAAACATCTACCTTGAACTTCCTCTCACTGAGGTTTGATATGCATTATATGTCCACTATACCGATGTTACAGTTACAGAGAGCAGCCCATCTGATACACAGTATGTCAGTCACCCTTTCCTTCATTCATCATTTTCCAGTTTTTGACCACAGGAATGCTGTAATCAGAAACTATGGCCTGACTAATATGAAGATTTTGTGGCTAACACTGATACTGATTTTAGAGGGCTAAAAATTGGAATAACGTGCAATGCAAGCTGATATATTGTTTATTTATATTTTAGATTTTAACTTTATATTCCAGTAGTTTTAGTTAACAGTGCTTTACTGACTGATATGATTGTCAGTTCTCAATTATCACACTTCTTAAACTTAAACAATAGAAACCCACAGTCTTTACTAATGTATTATAGCTCTTTGTGCTTTTGTTTTTTATTGTTTTTTGTTGTTCTTATTTTTCTTTAGTTTCTCATGCTAGAGGTTACCTTTGGATGCATTTTCTATTTTTAGTAATACTTATCATGATGGTGTTTATGGTTCACATTCATCAGTTCAGCCTGTATTGCTGTCG